ATATAATTGATCACAAATCACAATTTTCATATGTCACAAATTATTTTACGGTCACAATTCAAAATATTTATAGGTCACAATTTGTTCATCGGTCACAAATAAAAAATTTATACATCATGATTTGTTTATCGATTACGAATTTATCAAATTAATAGGTCACATATTAATCATTGGTCACAAATCACAAATTTTATATGTCACAAATTTATCTACGGTCACAAAATATCAAATTAATTGATCATAAATTATATTTAGATCACAATTTATCAAATTATTGATCACAAATTAATAAATTTTTAGGTCACACAGTATGTATTTGTCACACACCAACCAATTTATTGGTCACAAACAACCAAATCATTTGTGACCACCACCAACGCTTAGTGACCATCAACACACTGTTGCAACAGCCAAACCACCGTCGCCAGAACCACCACACCACCTCCCGACAATAAAATCATCGTTTCGAATTTGATAAGTGGTGATGGTCACAGTCACAGTCACAGTCGCCGCCGCAGCCACCGACAACAAATCAGATCCAAAACCGACAACACCCTACAACCGTCATCACCTCATCCTCGCCGTCATCACCACGACCATTTTCAGCTGCCACCACAACTACAGCCATTGCGGTAACAATACCTCACCTCGCGGCCAGTTCCACCCCCATCACATGACTAACCCCCGTCCCCAGGCAACACCAATGCCACAGCGCCCCCATCATCGCCACCAACACCACTTGCACCACAACCATTAGCGACCACCACGTCAACGTCGAATCCACCGCCAACAGTGCCGATCTACTTGTACCACCTCCAAAAAAAAAAAACTCTGGTCACGCCGCGCACCAGATAGCTACCCAAAACTCCAACCCCGACCCAATTTTCCTCAGATCCTACACCATATAGAAAGCCAAAACTCAGCCCACGCTGCGCAGCTGCGAAATTGAAAAAAAATCGAACTCATTGTGAAATCATATACATCCGCTGCTGCTATAAAATTGACCCAAAACCTCTTGAAGTATTCTTTCAAACTTGTGGATGAAGTACTCTGCAACGGCACCTCGTCGCGCTGGAGCTGCGCTGAAATGGGGGGAGAGAGCTAGTGAACAGGGCCGATAGAGAAATGGTAGAGAGGCCGGGAAAGGTTGAATTGAGATACAGGTAGAGAGAGAATATATCCATGTAGATTAATTAATTTATAATATTTTATTAATATTAAAAATTTGAATTAACATTTGATTTTTGTAAAAATAAACTTTAAATCTGATTTTTGAAATGAGATCTTCAAAAATCTGGTTTTATGTAATTTCCTCGAATAAAATCTCACATCGAATAAAGATGAAAACAAATACAAACTTACAAGTCTATGTGTAACTCCTATTAATAAGGTTGACATTTTAAGAAGGAACTTCAAAGTTTAATA